GGGTGCACCAGAGTTTGGTGAATATATGTTCAGGATTGTAATATCTTCTTGGTTAATTGTTCCTTTGATCAGAATGAAGTGACCCTCCTTATCTCTTCTGATTAGTTTTACTTTGAAGTCTATTTTGTCAGATATTAGTATTGCAACCCCTGCTTGTTTCTTAGTGCCATTTACTTGGAATATTCTTTTCCATCCTTTTACCTTAAGGTAGTGCCTGTCCTTGAAGGTGAGATGGGTTTCTTGCAGACAACAAAGAGATGAATTTTGTTTCATAATCCATTCACTTAGCCTTTGTCTTTTGACTGGGGAGCTCAGTCCATTTATATTTAAGGTTATTGTTGAAAGATGTGTATTGGTTGCCATCATTTTGATTGCTGTTTGTGTTCTTTGTCTAATTTTGTGTTTCCTCAGTTATACCTTTATTTATTTTCTTTCATTGCCCCGGGGGTATCGTTTTTTTCCTCTCCACTCTCTGTATTGTTTCAAGTATTTTTGAAGGGCTGGTTTTGTGTCCATGTATTCTTTCAGGCTATTCGTGTCATGGAAGATTTTTCTTTCCCCCTCGCTTACAGAACCCAGGTGAGGGGTTCCTTAGAGGAGCATAGGTGACTCCACGCCTCATGGATGGCATCCTCATGGAAACTACATCATGACGTCCTAATTTTAATTAACCTTCCACTTCCCATCTAGCATCTTCCAAGATTACTTGCAGCTGGGGGAGGGAACAGGGGATAATCTGTACATTTACTGTTTTTACTGTTATGTCATGGGGAGTTTCTTTTCTGATCCTATTTGGTGTTCTGTGTGCTTCCTGTATTTGTATGGGGATGTCATTCTTTAATTTGGGGAAATTCTCTTCTACAATCCTGTTTAAGGTCTGGTCAATACCATTAACCTGAAATTCTTCTCCTTCCTCTATTCCTGTGATCCACAAATTTGGTCTTTTCATGGTGTCCCACATCTCTTGCATATTCCATTCCTGAGATTCTTTTAAAATTTTCCATAATCTTTGCTTGAGTGGTCCAGTTCTTGAACTTTATCCTCCAGTGTTGATACTCTGTTTTCCCTTTCATTCATTCTAACAGTGAGGCTTTCCCCTGTTATTTCAAGTTGGCTTATTGAGTTTTGTACTTCCTTCTTCATTTCTGCCTGAGTTTTCGTCAATGTTTCTATCTCTTTTGTGAATTCATTCACAAGTTTATCCCTATCTTCTTTTAGCTCTTTGATTTGTTTGTCCATGTGTTCTTTAAATTCATTGAATTCCTTGATCATATTTATGATTGTTCTTTTAAATTCTGTGTCCTGAATTATCTCTAGGAGATTCTCCTGTAGAACTCTTCTACAGGATTGGTGGAGTTTGGTTTTGGTTTTCCCTGCTATTATTTTTCTGTTGCAATTTTGGCATGTAGATTTCGTCTTTTGTCGTGATTTTGGCATGTGAATTTCTTTTGTTTATGATTCTGATATGAGAATTAAGTTGAAGTATGCTTCTGTTTGTACTGTTGGTGTGCACAGGTCCTTTCCTTATCAGTTATGTAAATCTGGTTGATACAAGTTTCAGGTTCTCTCAGGTTTTATTTTGGAGGGAACTGATGGCTTCAGATCAGCTCTTCAAGAGCACCTACAGAAGGCCAAGTCAGGTTCCAGTCAGGCACACTCAGGCTTCCTTCTGAAGTTTGGACCCTTCTTAGCAGGAACTCAGAGAAAATTTGGGAAATTCCCTGTGGGGGGGCAATTTTGGGACTCTCAGTTGGTCTGCTGTGTTCTCAGCCCCTATGCCAGAGGAAGGCCAGAACCAGCACTCTCTGGCTGTCTGCTGAGATCACACCCACTACACCTGATAGAGCTGGGAACCCGCTGTCTCAGGCTGTCTGCTAAGACCTCAGCCTTAGCCTACCAAAGCTAGGGCTTTCCTGGGGCCTCACAAAATCCCAGGTAGGGGGATGGGTATGGCTCAATTAAGGGAGGCTCACCACCACGTGGAGGCAGGGGGAAGTCAGAACCCAGCACTCTGGCAATCTTCTGCGATCACAGCCACTACTTAGATAGAGGTCAGAACCCGCCCTCTCAGGCTGTCTACTAGGATCTCAGCCTGAGCCTACCAAATCCAGGTCTTGCTCTCTAGTTTTCTTACACAGGTCAGGCCCACCTACCTAGGAATGGCACTGCCCACAGTGAGCTGTGCATGTCCACAGGTCAATCCAGCAGAGGAAATTCCTCAGTTGTGGGTCCTTCTTCCCAGGTGTGTCAAGTTGACAACTGAAGATAACTATGACAATGCGTGTTCATGTGTGTGTCACCCACATGTGTGGAGGTCAGAGGACAAGCTCTGGTGCTTGTCTTTGCCCTCCCCCTTGTTTGAGGCAGGATCTCTCATTCACTGTTGTGGTCAACAGTAAACTGGCCTGAAAGCTTCCAGAAACTCTGTCTTGACATTCATCTCCTTGTATGAGTGCTGGGCAGTCATCACATGTTAGCAGCTTTTTGTGGGTTCCGGGGATATAAACTTCAGTCCTCATACTTGCAAGGCAAGACCTTACACACTGAGATAGCTTCCCAGCCCTCACTCTCTTTTTAAGGTCAAATATGGATGATGACCCCAAGCACCTGAAGGCCTAGTGATATATTTTCTAACACACATTACAAAAATTCTTTATAATGAAAAAATTTGACTGGGTGCATTGGCCCACACCTTTGATTTCAGCACTTGGAAGGCAGAGGCAGACGGATCTCTGTGAGATCAAGGCCAACCTGGTCTATATAGTGAGCTCCAGGCCAGCTGGGAATACAGGGAGACCCTGTCTTTAAAACAAACAAACAGCAAAATGTTTGCCCATAATCTTGAAGTCTTTTTATTAAGTTTTATTCATTTTTTGTGTATGTTTTACTTGCATGTATGTAAGTACACCACGTATGCCTAGTAACCACAGAGGTCAGAAGAGTGTATCAGATCCCCTATAACTGGAGTTATAGTTGGGTGCTACCATGTGGGTGCTGGGAATCGAACCCAGGTCCTCTGCAAGAGCAGCCAGTGCTCTTAACCACTGAGCCATTTCTCCAGCCCCTTAAAGTCTTAAAATTCATCTTCCCATCTAAAGGATTCTTTGTGAACGGGTTCAGGTCCACCAGGCCTGAGGGATCTGAGATCCAGATGTCTTCAGCCCAGAACCTGAGGCCACATAGGAGAGTCAAAGTCTACCCACACCACCCACCCTACCCTGGTTGAGTGATGGAGGTAGGCATCAGTGGGGCTCACAGGGGTCACAGCAAAGCCCCCAAACATGGAAGCTCCTCAAGTAGCCTGGGAAGTCCCAGATGGGGCATGGCTTCAAGGGAGCCCTGTGTCCTCTTCCCTGGCAGCAGGTGTCACAGTGGGGAGGGCTGACTACAGCACCCAACTGTGGAGTCAGCCCAACATTTCTGAGTCATATACATACAGGCCCAAGGCCTACTTCCCCCTCAGCTAAGGGGCTGCCACGTATTTCCACCTCCCAGCCCCAAGGAGGTAATGCCACTCAGTTCACTCAGCCCCTTTGCCTTGGTCCTGAGGGTTCCCAACCAGGGTGGCTACCCCAACACAGAAAGGGAGGCTCCTCCCACAGGGCAATGGACCCCAGGGAACAGGGAGTGGAGGCCTGCATCTGAAAAGGGGCAAGAAACCAGGGCATGGTGGCCTGTAATCCCAGCACTCTGGAGGCAAAGCAGGAAGGTTGTGAGTTGCAAGTGACCCCAGGCTACATATCAAGACCCCATCTCAATACAAACACAGGAAACTGGAGAGAGGGCTTAGCGGTTAAAAGCACTGTCTACTCTTGCAGGGACCCAGGTTTAGTTCTCAGCACCCACATGATGACTCATCACCATCTATAACTCCAATTCCAGGGTATCCAACACCCTCTTCTAGCCTCTATAGGCATTGCACTCACATGGTGCACTTACATACATACAAGCAAACACACACATAGAATAAAACAAGTCTTTAAAACGTACACACTGATAAACAACAAAAACTAAATAAATAGTTTGTCTTGTAACATGGCATTCATTTTTCTGTGTCCCCTTTTTTTCCTGATTAAAAAAAAAGTGACAGAAGGGGGCTGGAGAGATGGCTCAGAGCTTGAGAGCACTGGTTGCTCTTGTAGGAGACCTGGATTTGATTCCCAGCACCCACATGGCAGCTAACATCCATCCTGTAACTCCAGTTCCAGGGGATCTGTCACCCTCTTCTGATCTCCACAGTCACTGCATGACACGGGTGCATCTAACTGCATGCAGTATACTCATACACATAAAAATAAATGAATAAAAAAGTGACAGAAGGACTGGGGGTGCAGCTCAGTTGGTAGAGCACTTGCTTAGCACACACGAGGTCCCGGGTTCAGTCCCCAGCCACCATATAAACCAGGTATGGTAGTGAACACCTATAATCCCAGTATTTGGGAGGGTGAGGCAGGAGATTGGGAGTTCAAAGTTATCCTCAGCTACATAGTGAGTTCAAGGCCAGCCTGTTATATGAGACCCCATCTCAAAAATGAAAAAAGGATAGAAACGTCTAAGCCCCTTAGGCCCTGCCATGCAGGCTCCCAGGCCACAGGCTTCCACGTGCAGTTCTCTCTACTCCTTGCAATTTGCTCTTGCCTCACATCGCTAGTTCTGTTGCCCTACCCTGGCTGGGGGCTTGGAAAGCTTGGAGAAAAGACCAGGAGCAGGAATAAAGTCATCCTTGAGCTCTCTGAGGCTTCCCGAGAAGCAACTCTGTAGGCTGGCCACAGAGGTCGAAGATGATAAATAAAGACACGTGCAGAGACACGCGCAGACCTGCCTGAGGCTGCCCATCCTTCCCCAAGGACCTCAGCAGCCTGAGTGGGAGCCACGAGCTGTCGTTGCCAGTGTCCCAGAGTACATACAGGGATGAGCAGAGCAGTCCCTGAAGCACATTCTACAAATGTGGTAACCCAAGAAAAGCACAAGGTCAACATGGGTCTTGATTTGGTCCTTTGCTATCCAAGGCGGCCCCTGTATCTGGCACTGCTCTCCATCTCTGATCCAACTTCGGGGTCCATTTGGTTCCCGGCCTCCTGTATGGCTGTCTTGTCATCATCTACTACTTCGGTCGCCTTGGCCTCTTGGCACTGTCGCCCTGGAGCCTGCGGGGGTTGCTGGGAGGCAGCGGGCTGTGACGCCGACCTCCGCTGTCTGTAGATCCTGGGGTGGATGGGAGACTTTGGTCTGCGGAACAGGTGAAGCTAGTGCTCACCACCATTGAGACCACATGATGTGGCCACACATGTAACCCAACCTCACAGAGCCTGACCCCTCTCCCGCTGGGCTGCCACCATCAGCACCAATCATCTTCCAGCCTGCACAAGGCCCACACGACAAGGACGGGGGAGGGTCTCTGTGGACCCTTCCCATCCCTCAAACTCAAAGATACGTGTCAAACTGGCTGTCACTCAGCCTTCGTCTTCTTATCCCAAACCCCTTTAACCTTTCCTTAAACAGCAGCACGGGGGAGGGAAGGTGTAGCCACCGGAACCGAGGTTGCACAGCAGGAACACCCTCCTTTGCCCCCATCCCCCTGGTAGTCTGAATGCCCAGGGATATTTGATTTCATCCTTCCCAATGGCTTGGTTGTGAGGTGGCCTGGAGGTGGGGGTGGGGGTATGGCAGAGTGGTACCCAGGATGCCAGAGGGAGCTTGCTGTGCCCAGGAGGGGATCCGGGCAGCACTGGCTTCTCTGTTTGAGATTAAGATGATGTGGATGTTGGAGCTGGAGAGATGGCTCAGCGGTTAAGAGCACTGACTGCTCTTGCAGAGGACCCAGGTTCAATTCCCAGCACCCACGTGGCAGTTGCAAACCGTCCTTAACTCCAGTTCCAGGGGAATCCGAAGCCCTCTTCTGATCTCCGCGGCATTGCACGACACGGGTGCACTCACATACATGCGGGTAATATACTCATACACATAAAGTAAAAATAATAAATAAATAATTTTTTTTAAAGATGATACGGATATGGGCACTAATGTGGCTGACCCTGGAGCTGGGGTTTAGCAACATGTAGGACAAGTCAGTGCTCTTCTTGCTTCAAGATATAAAAATAGAAGAGGCCAGGGGGGAGAGAGGAGGGGCCAGGCTGAAAGGGAGTGCACTGTGCAGCAATCCTCAGGGCTGATGCCTAGGCTAGCAGCCTTCCTGTCCTGGGAGGGACCTTAGCTGGGGACACTTCTCAATGAAGCAAAAGGCAACAAACTTGATTTTGAACAAGGGGTCGGGGTGAGCTGGGGAGGGTGGGGGTGCAGGCCTGTCATCCCAGCACTTGGGACGTTAAGGTAGGAGGAGTGTGAGTTCCAGGCTAGCCTGGGCTACAGAGCCAGACCTTGCCAAAGAACTAAGAAAAGAGAAAGAAGGGAAGGATGGGAGGAAAGGAGGGGGGAGGAGAGAAACTTCTCAGGGTTTAGGACCCAAATAAAGAACCTTTGTCATTGACACTGAGTACGTGAGGAGTGAAATAAACACATTTAGAAGTGGTCTCACTTGTTCCTTTTGGCCTAACGTAGCTAAGCAAACATTTGCCGTCATATAGAGAAGCCTGGGGTGGTGGCACATACCTGCCATCCCAGCACTCGCATGGGAGACTGAGGTAGAGGGATGGATGGAGAGAGGTCAGCCCAGGCTACAGAGTGAGTTCCAGGCCATTCTGCCCTACACGGTGGTTGTGTATATGGCTGTGGAAAGTGCCATCATTTGTAGATGTCTAAAGCTACACAGTGAAATAATGACACTGTGTGTGTGTGTGTGTGTGTGTGTGTGTGTGTGTGCATGCATATAGAGGCCAGCTTACATTCTCCCATGTTCCTCAAGCCCCAGGGGTCCTCCTCAATTCTGGGATGACAGATGCACACCGCACCTAGCCCTTTCTATATGTGTTTTGGGGAGCAGACTCAGGTCCTTGTATTTGCAAGGCAAGTACTTTACAACTTACCTTTTCCCCAGCCCCAGTAATAATAGTTTTTGTTTTTATTTTTGTTTTTGAGGCAGGATCTCACTATGTAGTCCTGGCTGGCCTGGAACTCACTATGTAGACCAGGCTGGCCTTAAACTCACAGAGATCTCCCTGTCTCTGCCTCCTGAGTGCTAGGATTAAAGGTTTGCACCACCATGCCCAGCCCAATAATTCTTTTTAAAAGAACAGGGAGGGACTGGGTTAGAGAGATGCTCAGCAGTTAAGAGCACTTGCTACTCTTGCAGAGGACCTGAATTCAGTTCCCAGGACCCATGGAGGAGGTTCACAATCACCTGTAACTCCAACTCCAGAGGATCTGATGCCCTCTTCTGGACTCTGAGGGCTCTGCACTCTCTCTCTCTCTCTCACACACACACACACACACACACACACACACACACGCACACACACATGAGATAATAAAATAAATCTTGAAAAATAAAGAATTAGGAGGATCCACATACAGTGTATAGGAGGTGGACTCACCCGGGTGTCCACCTACCCAATGGGTGCCTAAATCCCGTGTCCAGCCTTCCTGTACCATTACCCCAGGACCCAGCTCTGAGACCCCATTCTCCTCAACTTGACCCTCATGTGGCTCACCTTCACCTGCCGATCCCACTAAGCAGGGTACCTGCCCCACCACTGTCATGCTCCCAGAGGTGCCCCCTACAGCCCATCTCCTCCTGGCCAGCATGTGGCTCTTGTCTGTCTACCTTAGCCCAGAGTCTGGGCCCCAGCATTCAACTGGTCTGGCCAAGCACTTGAGACCAAACAACTCAGTCAAAGTCTGAGAGGGCAAAATGTTTGAGAAGGAGGTGAGGGCTCCATCGGGGATCCCAGGGAGCTTTTGGGACAAGGGACAAGGACAGCATGGGAAGCCACAGGTCCCCACTGTTTCCTCCCAGTTGACAGAGCAAGCCAGGCAAGAGAAGGAGACGGAAATTCAACTTCAAGCCCTTCCTGTCCTCCCACTGCCAAGAGCATCCCAAGTCCCTGTCCTCCAGGGTATCAGAGTTCTCCAAGTAGGCTAGGTGTACAAAGAACAGAGGCCTGGATAGTGTGGGGATGGGTGTGTGTGCTGCTGTCCCTCCACCAATCTCCAAGGAAAGACAAAAGTGTCCAGGAAGCCAGTGGGATATGGATGGGGACACAGGGACAGGGTCAGGGACAGGGCCAGACACTGACCTCGGATGTCTCGTGGCAGGAGGGATGGCCGGCTAGATGATGGGCTGTTCTGCCACATGGCACTGGGGAAAGTGAAGCTGACCTCGGGCACTTGGAGCGTGTTCTCATCTAAAGGAGAGACCAGGAGCAGGAAGCGTTATTAAGCATTATTATAGGAAATGCCCGAAGGGCCTGGAAATCAAACCAAAGAGCGAGCAAACAGACGGGAAACATGCAGCACCTACTGCACACAGGCTCTCACTCAGCACCTCCCTGTGACTTCTCACAGTCCTGTGAGGGATGGAGTCTGGGGAGGGGAGAAAGGAGGAGGGGGAGGAAGAAGAAGAGAAAGGACAAGAGGCAGATCAGAAGGAGGAGGGAGAGGAGGAGGGAATGGGTGATAGGGAGGACGAAGAAAAGGAGGAGCAGGAGGAGGGAGAGGAAGAAAAGGAGAAGGGGAACAGGGAGGAGGAAGAAGAGGAGGATTGGGGGAGGGGAGAAGGAAGAGGAGGAAAAGAAGAAAGGAGGAGGGAACAGAAGGAAGAGGGAAATCACAGAAGCCTACATCTCTAAACAGAGCGTGGTAGTGCCTGTAATCCTAACCCTCAGGAGGCTGAGGCAGAACTGCAATTTTGAAGCCAAGCTTTGCTGCATAGTAAGTTATAGGCTAGCCTGAGCTACCACAGCTTTCTCAAAACACAATTTTAAAAAATCGTTTTGTTTTGGTTTGTTTGAGACAGGGTCTCCTGTAGCCCAGGCTGGCCTCAAATACACTACAAAGCCAAGGATGACCTTGAACACCTGATCTTCCTGCTTCCACCTGTTGACTGATGGAGTTATAGGTACTACCATACCTTGTTTACACAGTACTAGGGATGGACCCAGGCTTCCTGCATGCCAGGCAAGTACTCTAGCAACTTAAATCCATCTCAATTGACTTATTTCTTGACAGACAAAAACCTCTGCCTCCAGAGCTCAGAGTTGGGGAACCTTGATGTTCCAGGTCACTGACCAATCTACTTGACAATCAATGAATCAAAAAAACAGGGGCTAGAGAGATGGCTCAGCAGTGAAGTCAAAATACTCATACACATAAAATAAGAAATTTTAAACACACACACACACACATATATATATATATTGTATATATATATGTATATATGAGCAAAGCACAGATAGCTGATGACATTCTGGACTGTCCTGGATTCATGGATTATATTCAGAAGGGACAGTCTTGAGGGACAAAAACATTAACATTATTTTTGTTTCTCTGATCCCATACCTGCGTGGAAACTGAGACTGGGTTTCACTTTGGAGGCTGTGGGCACAGCAGGGAAAAAGCTCTTCCCAGAATGCTTTGGTGGCTGGAGGTACACTGGGGACAGCTGGTTCTCAGCCAAATGCTCCACAGAGGGCTGAGGTTTCTCAGTTACCTGCAGTTTGGAAAAGGCACACAGCCAGACAGGGTGTGAGGATTTCAAGGTCATGTTCTAATTAAACACCTACTGCATGGCAGAGTAGCAGGATCACTGAACCCCGGATGAACGCACAAACGGATGGATGAGTGCGACTCCTCCCCGAATGCTCCCCCTTCCCCTTATGGAGTCCAAACAGAGTTCTTGCCTAAGTCTGGACACTGGGTAATTATATGTCAGCCTGCTGAGCCATGGGGCACCCAGACCCTTGGCTAGATATCGCTCTGGGGGTACCTGGGAGGGGACTTTCAGGGGAGTGTGACATACAGGTTAGCACAATGAGTATAGCAGATGGCCATTCCTTGCATGGGCGGGCCTCATCAAATCAGGTGACAGTTTGAATGGAAATATGAGACAGATCCATCCCCAAAAGGAGAATTCTCCTGTTTGCTGGTGGGACAGTGGGCTCTTCCTCCTGCCTTCAGACTTGAATAGAAGCAGCAGTTGTCCTGAGCATGTCTCTGTCTCTCTGTCTCTCTGTCTCTGTCTCTCTGTCTCTGTCTCTGTCTCTGTCTCTCTCTCTCTCTCTCTCTCTCTCTCTCTCTCTGACTCCTGATACATTCTTTGCTTTTTTTTTTCCTTAAGTTTTGGTCTGGGGCTTTTTGAGATAGAGTCCCACTGTGTAGCCCAGGCTAGCCTGGAACTCATGATCCTCCTGCTACAGCCAGCCCAGGGCTGGAATTATAGCATTAGCCTATAGTGCTTGGCCTGAATTTTACTCTCAAGTAAACGATCACCCTGTGTTCAGTATAAGTTGGGGCTTTGGCCACCAGAGGCCGGATTCAGGACTGCCAGACCCTCACCAGCCAACAACACCCAGCACCAAACACTAGAGGCACTGGAATAGGTAGCAGTGATCAGACCTTGGGATCTGACTCTCACAGGTTACTTAGGAGTCCTCTTTGGAGCCATACAATACCTCTTCTCTCCTTTCTTTTTTCTTTCCTTTTCTTTTTTGGTCTTTTTGAGGCAGGGTCTCCCTGTAGCCCCAGCTGGATTGGAACTCACAGAGATCTGTCTGCCTCTGCCTCCAGAGTGCTGGGGGTAAATGTGTGTGCCACCACACTCGGCTTCTCTTAAGTTAAAAAGCAACACTGGCTAGGGCTATGGCTTGGTGCTACAGCACCTGCCTAGAATCCCCCAGTGAGGGGATGGAGATGTGCTCAGTGGTAGATTACCTACCTAGCATGTGCAAGGCCCTGGGTTCCATCCCCAGTACCATAAAGAAAGACATCTAATACTGAATTGGAACATGAAAATTCTCAGGTCACAAAGCTGGGGATTTTCCCGAGTTAAAACTGTACAAAACACTGATGCTGTGGTGGTTTCAGGCCATGCAGGAGCCTGAGGACTGTGAAGGGCTGTGTGACTTGGGCATGCCTCTCTTCCACCTCCTTGGGTGTGCATGCCTCCTGTGCATCTGCAACAGTGTGAGCCCCTGCCTGTCCTCCCTGGCCTCTCCTCTTGCTGTCCCCACCACACCCCAGCAACCAGACCAACATTCACTCACTGGCTGCACACTCCAGGTAAATGAGGGTGACCTCTTCCTTCCTATCTTCCTCTCCATGGAGTGGTCCCTGATGGGACTGGCATGGGGCCACCTCCTGTCTGCAGGGCTGGGGTCCCTGGAGTCCAAGCCACTGCCCTCTTTGTCCTGCACTTTGCAGCGCCGGCTTGCTGCGATGAGGGCGATGTTCTTGGTACCCAAGGCCATCTCCTTGAGGGCCTGGGCACTCAGGGTGGGGCCGCTGGTCTCTCCCACCAGCTGTGGGGCTCTCAGCTCCAGGCCAGCTGTGGGTTGCAGGCTGGAAACCAGGCTCTTGATGCTCAGAGGGCTTGGCTTCTGCAGGAAAACAGTACAGGCCACTGGAAGTCACTACAATCAGAGCATAGGACCCTGAAGCAGACCCACTGCACGCAGGCTTAGTGGGAAGGGGTCTCCCTCTAGCTAGTGACCTGCACACCAACCTCAAGCATGGGGGGAGTCAGCAGGATTCGGAGGGCTGGCGGCGGAGGGAAAAGGTAGTCTTGTTTTCCCAGCCTCCTCAGCGGTGTGCTTTTGGAGGACTTGTTCCCATCACTGTGGATGAAACAGGAGATCAGCAGGACCACCTTGGAGCCACAGGGTCCTTTGTCACAGCTTAGACTAGCTGGAGTCTAAGCCCAGGCTGCTGTTCAAGCCCAGAGCACTGTGGGCCATGCATCAGAGAAGATGGTAGCCTTGGGCATATTTCTACAGTTGAGGCCACACTGGCTCATATTTGCTGGTTACTTATGGTGGGCAGCCAGAGGGCAGTACGGGCTCTTAGCAGGCTAGGCCCTGTCCTCTATACATTATTAGGGAGATATGCACCTGTGACAGTGCTCTTATAGATAATTGGATGGGATGTAGACTCAGCATGGAAACAAATCTCTGGGCATGTCTGTGAGGGAGTTTCTAGACCGGGTTAACTGAGGAGGGCAGACCCACCCTGAATGTGGGGAGCATCATCCCATGGGCTGGGGTCCTGACTGAATAAAAAGGAGAAAGCGAGCTGAGCACCAGCATCCATCTCTCTGCTCCCTGACTGTGGATGCCGTGTGAGCAGCTGCCTCAGGCTCCTGCCACCATGCCTTCCCTCCATGATGGACTGTATCCTCAAACTGCGGTACAGTGGTAGAGCACTGCATAGAATCCCCTAGTGAGGAGGAGCTAGGGGTGTGGCTCTGTGGTGGAGCACCTGCCTAGAATCCCCTAGTAAGGTACTGAGGGCATATTTAGGTTCAATCACTAGAGAGAGAGGAAGAAAAAAAAAAAGGCTGGGCATGCGGCTTAATTGGTAGACTGTTGGCCTAGTATGCACAATGCCCTAGATTCCATCCTAGCACAGCATAAGTCAGGCATAGTGGCACATGACTGCAATCCTAGCACTCGGGAGGTAGAGGCTGGAGGATCACAAGTTCAAGGTGCTCTTAGTCACATAGTGAGTTCAAGGCCAGCTTGAGCTTCACGGCTATCTCAAAACAAACAAAAACAAACAAACAAAAAACCACCAAGCAAACAAACAAAAACAAATTTTAAAAAAGGAAGCCATCCTCTCCTCTTTCTCTGTCTCTCATTTCCTGCCTCTCCCAACCCTGCTCCCACAGCATGGAAGGACATAGAAAGAAAGTTCCTATTTGGGGGCAGGAGAGATGGCTCAGCAGTTAAGAGTACTGGCTGCCCTTGCAGAGGACCTGGGCTCAGTTCCCAGCACCCACATGGCAGCTAACAACCATCTGTAACTCCAGTTCCAGGGGATCTGATGCCCTCTTCTGGCCTCCACGGGCATTGCACATGCAGGTGCACTTACACACATGCAGACAAAACACTCATACACATAAAGAAATAAAAATAAAAAATATTTTTTAAAAATGTGGCCAAGCCAGGTGTGGTGGTACATGCCAGCACTTTGGAGGCACAGGCAGGTGGATCTCTGTGAGTTCGAGGCCAGCCTGGTCTACTTAGTGAGTTCCAGGACAGTGGGGGCTACAGGGAGACCCTGTCTCAAAAAGACAAGAAAAAAGGTAGCCATCTTTCAGTCAGGAAGAGAACATTCCCAGGCCCTCAAGCCCTCTGGCAGGCTAATCTTGGGCCTTTAGCCTCCAGAGCTGTGGAACAATACATATTACTTAAGCTGCCCAGAGTGCAGTGTTTTGTGACAGCAGATTGAGCAACAGGAACTGTCAAGCAGATTGGCCAAATGTGAACTATTAAACTTAGGAATTGAGTCTAAGGGCAATTAAAGTAAATTAAAAGTAAGTAAATTAAAATTTTGCTAGTGGAGCTGGAGAGGTAGTTCCTTGTTTAAGAGCACCGGCTGCTCTAGCAGAGAGTCCAGATTTGATTCCCAGCACCCACATGATAGCTCACAACTGTCTGTAACTCTAGGTCCAGGGGGTCAGATGACCTCTTCTGGCTTCTGCACATGGCACGCTTACATAAAATGCAGGCAAAATACTCATATATACAAAATAAATTTAAAAATTAAAAAAGAAAAAAATTTGCTAGTGTGTGCTCTAGTCTGCTGGGTGCTGTGTACTGAACTCAGATCCTTTGCAAAAGCAAGTGCTTTTAATTGGCAGGCCATCTTTCTAGATCCGCCTTGCTTTTCTGAAACAGTCTCTCACTGGCCTGGAACTTACCAAATAGGCTAGGCTGGCTGGCCAGTGAGTCACAGGGATCCCCTTGTTTCCACACCCCACCCAACCCCAGTGCTGGACGTGGGTGCACCACTGACACCTTTTTTTTTTTCCAGTGCAGGTTCCAGGGGCCAAACTCAGGTCCTTGTGCTTGTGAGGCAATACCTTTACCCTCTGAGCTGTCTCAGCAGCCCCTCATTTTTAAATGATTCCCCATGGGTTGGAGTGTTGGATCAGTGGTTAAGAGCACTTACTCCTCTTCCAGAGGACCAGAGTTCATTTCCCAGTACCCACACTGAGCAGCTCACAATGGCCTGTAACCTTCCTAGAGGGTGGGTATGAGACACACCTCTGGGGAGAGCAAATTCTAGGATGAGTCCAAGCTGTATGTTGGCAGAGCACCTGGGAATAGAGGCCTCTGCCCAGCCCTGAATTCATTACGGCCTTAGCTCCCTACCCAGACCTCATGGGACCCACCTGTCTCTTTCCAGGAGCATCTGCGGCAGTTCAAATGAGGCTCCCCACGGGAGGTCCTTCCTGTCACCAGGCTGCTCTCCACCGTTTTCCTCAGGCAGTGGAGATGACATGTTCAGAATGGAGCCATCCTGGTACTAGAGAAGCAGAGTGAAGTGGGCAGAGGCACAGGTGACATTTGTTACCAAGCAGATAGTCTCTGAGGGGTCATGGGAAGGCAAGTGTCATCGCTCCACCAGGGCTCAGAGAAAGCCATGGAGCAGGGGTTACCAGCCAGGATTCCTTAACGTGTATCTAGGATGGAGGTGCTGGTTACCGTTTGTCAACTAGACACAGACTAGAGACACCTGGGAAAAGGACACCTCAAGTGAGGAATTTCCTCCATCAGAATGGCCTGTGGTCATGTCTATGGGACATCTTCTTGATTGCTTACTGATGTAGGAGGGTCCAGTTCACTGTGGGTGGTGCCGTTCCTAGGTAGGTAGATGAGCTATATAATAAAGGTACCTGAGGAGGACTGGAGAGATGAGTCAGTGGTGAAGGGCATCTGCTGCTCTTGCAGAAGACCTTGATTTGGTTCCCAGCACCGTATGGCAGCTAACAACCATCCATAACTCCAGTTCCTGAGGCTCTGACACCACCTTCTGACCCCCATGGACATTGCACAACATGGGTTATACTTACACACACGCAGGCAAAACACTCATACACATAAAACTTAAAAGAAAAAAAATGAAAATATAGTGGACAGCACCTGAGGAATGACATCTGAGGTCCTTGTCCTCTGACCTCCACATGCCACATGCACTTACACACATGTGCACCCATACATGTAAACATACACAAGCTGGCAGCTTAGCAAGGAGCCAGAGCAAGGTCTATACAGACCAAGGGTCTTGAGCAGTCCAGAGAGATGATACTGACACCTCCAGACACCAAGAGGTCCTCGGCACACCTGTCACACCAGCAAAGGCCAAAGGTGTGAGAACACCTGAAGGAGTAGGGGTCTGGGCACGCTGTGGTCGGCACACTAGTCTCCACACACAGGGCTGTTGTTGAGCAGCACTGGTGAGAAATCCAGAACCTGCTCTCCTGCCCATGTGCATCTGCCTGAAGATGTGGATACCAAAGATACACAATTGTGGGTGATGGGTGCATGTGAGCAGCCACTGCATGCCATGAGCTGGAGCCTGGGCTTGTGAGTACTGAGCAAGCATGAGAAACCAATTTTGCACAGTCTCCCATAGATGTTCCTTGCAACAGGGCTGGGGCATGTCTCAGTGATAGAGCCCCTGCCTAGAATCCCTCAGTGATGGGCTGGGGTATGACTCAGTGATAGAGTTCCTGCCTAGAATCCCCCAGTGAGGGGATGGAGAGCATGGCTCAATGGTAGAGCTCCTTCCTAGAATCCCCCAATGTGGTGCTGGGGGTGTGACTCAGTGGTAGGGCTCCTGTTTAGAATCCCCCAGTGAGGGGCTGGGGCATGGCTTAGTGGTAGAGTCATGCCCTAGCCCTATATTCTATCTTCAGCACTGTAAAACACACATACCCACACACTCTTAAAGAAACATGGTGAAGTAGGAAGCACAGCAGACATCACCCTAACCCAAGAATCAAGCTTACCATGCTCACTAACAGGACACACCCACTTTGTGCACCTGTGACAGTGTTGTCTGGGGTGCTCCTGCCCAACATAGAATTCTAACAATCAGCTTATCAAGGTGATCGTGAGGGGATGCCTATCCATCCCCAAGTAAGGAACATTCTAGAGTAGCCCAGTAGCACCCTTAAGTGTCAATCATTGGGGCAGAGAAGCTACAGACCTTTGGAGACTGAGGGAATCAAGGAGACCTAGTAGCTAAAGGAAACATAGGTCTCATGCTGGACTTCAGAATGGTAAAAGACATGGGTACCAGAAAATAGAATGTGTGGCCTGGGGTATGGGTCAGTCAGCACAGCACTTGCCTGGCATGCATGAGGGCCCAGGTTCTACCCCCAGCACCACAGAAATCTTGCATAGTGGTGCACGTCTGCAATTCAGGCATTGGAAGGTGGAGGCAGGAGAATCAGAAATTGGAGGTCATCCTTGGCTACATAGTGAGTTCAAGGTCAGCCTGGGCTACATGAGACCCTGTCTCAGAAAACAAATCAAAACGAAACCAAAAACAGAACATGTACCTGTCACTCAAGAAATGGCAAGGTTGAAGGAAGGATACAAGAAATCAGGTGCTGGTGATCCTTTGCTGGAGGGACAGATAGTGTGTCAGTTTCTTGCAACACTAAACGGATTCTAACTACGTGATACAGCCAGCACACTTCTTGGTATTTTCCCAGAAGAGTTAAAACGCTCCCATCCTGGCAACTGATTGCTGCTAGATGAAGAAGAGCTGATCTTCCTAAAACAAGGGACTCTAGAGAAGATTAAACTCAGTGGATGGATTTGCACTGGGGAACAGCTGGGGACACTAACAGCCCAGTGGGCCTTAACAGGAATGACAGAGTATATGGGCTCCAGTGGAGGGGGAGGCTATGGGAGGGTGCCAGTGAGGATGGAGGTATAAAGATAATTAAGATTGTTTGAGATGTTCTGTATGAAATATACACACAAAAAACCATAAAAATAAACCTGCATGTGTATGTTTGTGGCAGGTTTATTGACAACGGCCCAAATTCAAAGCAATGAGGATTCTTTTTAGTAGTGAACAGGCAGATGAATGTTGACATACTTGACAATGCAATGTCACTCAGCAGGAGTGATAAGACCATGGAATGGTGTAGAGGGGATACACGTGGCCACTGCTAAGAGTGTCTGCAAAGACTGCACATTGTGTCAGGCCAACTGTGTGGCTGTAGAAAAAGGCAAAACTACAGAGAAAACAAATCAATTAAAAGATCAGTGGTTGTGCCTGGGCATGATGGCGCACGCCTTTAATCCAAGCACTCAGGAGGCAGAGGCAGGAGAATCTCTGTGAGTTCAAGGCCAGCCTGGTCTACATAGTGAGTTCCAGGCAGCCAGGGCTACACAGTATGACCCTATCTTAAAAAAAAAAAAAAAAAAAAGCAAACCTAGTGCCTGGGGAGGCTGGCAGAGCCAGCACTGAGCACTGCAGGAACCTTCCAGAAGCAGAAAACTGATGCTCCTCCAAAAGCTTCCTATGTTTCCCAGAGGGTGTGGCTTGTGTGCCCTGCATCCCCACATCCCTTCCTCACACTGTGAGGTCTGGGGGGGTTCTTATTCTCCCAAGAGAATGAAACCAAAGGTCTGTGGTCTGGGGGCACCAGGCCTCACTAGGGCCAAGTAGAATTGGTGGGCTAAGCACCCATGCTCTAACATTAGGAGTCTGTCAACAACAAAGTTATAACTGTATAGTTGGCCCAACGCGATGGCTCAGCAGGTGGAGGCACTGGCTGCTAAACCTGATGACCTGCGTTTGATCCCCAAATCTTACATGGTAGAAAGGGAAAACCAACTCCCACAGGTTGTCCTCTGACCTCTGCTCACACACTGTGGCACATACGCTTACACACACACAAACGTACACACACATACAATAAATGAATGAAGAAAAAGATAAATGTAATTTTTTGTTTTGTTTTTTTGAGACGGTCTTCCTGTAGCCCCAGCTGGCCTGGAACTTGCTATATAGACCATGCTGGACTTAATCTCAGAGATCTGCCTGCCTCTCTCTTCCAGGTGCGGGGATTAAAGGTATGCTTCATCATGCCCTTCCCAACAGCTTTGATCCACCCTGGATTCTTCAGGAACAGACAAGGACTAGGGGTATGATCAGAGAGAGACCAGCATAGCCAAGGGAGCAGTACCTGGGCCTTCCCAGCACACCAGCAGACCCTGCTCATCCAGCCTGCAGGGTGGGCTGTCATCTTTAGGCCTGGGCTGAACTCCCCTGGTTATTCTATGTGTGTATATATGTGTATATGTGTTCATGTGTGTGTGTGTGTGTGTGTGTGTGTGTGTGTGTGTGCCATCCAACATGGGTACTAGGAACCAAACCCCAGTCCCCTGAAAGAACAGTAGACTCTCTTATGTACTTATTTATTTGTTTTTATTTTATGTGTATGAGTGTTTGTCTTCATGTATATACATGCACCATTTGCCTGCGATGCCCACGGAGGCCAGAAGAGGGCACAAGACCCTCAGGAACTGGAGTTACAGACAGTTGTTAGCCACCATGTAGGTGCTGGGAACAGAATTGGGGTCCTCTTCTGGAGCAGCCAGTGCTCTTAACCACTGAGCCATCTCTCCAGCCCTGCATCCAGCTTTTTTAAGTGTCACGAAGTGTCACGGGGCTTAAACTTGGGTCCTTATGCTTGCACAGAGTTCTGACTCTGGGTACTTTGTCTGAGGCTGTCTCAAGTTTTCTCCACTTCCTGGGTACAGAGCAGGGCCCAGCAAGGGCAGGCCCAGGGCAGAGCATGACAAGATGGTGTTGAGCATGGTCTTAGCCAGAGGTGGGCAGGAGTGGAGGGGGAGGGGGAAGACTCACCCGGAGCGAGCTGGACATCACGGAGTGCTGTAGCAGCAGGCGATCCAGTGTGCCCTCTCCCAGCTCCCGGGAGTACAGCTGGTATTGCTGCTCCAGGGGCTCTGGGGCTGAAATGCCACTGTCTGCAGGGGCAAAGACAGCAGCCATGAGTATGCTGACTACCGCCTCCTACCAGGCCCACACCACGCTGCAGACCAAAAGGATAGTGTTTTCCAGGGAAGCTTAAAGGCAAAGAGCCTCCTGGAAAGCCTTTTCTTTTCTGTTATGTTATTGTCTTTTCTTTTTCTAGTTCTTTTTTTTTTTTTTTTTTTTGAGACTAGGTTTCATGTAGCCCAAGCTGGCCTCCAGCTTGCTTATATAGCCAAGGATGACCTTGAATTTCTGACCCTGCTGCCGCTACCTTACAAGTGCTGGGATGACAGACAGGCATGGAGCCCCACACTTGGTTTACACGATGCTGGGAATAAAGCTCAGGACTTCGAGCACGCTAGGCAAGCACTGTTTTAATTTTATTATTATGGTTTCTCTGTGTGTGGCAATGAAGTTTGAGCCTTGAACATGTGAGGCAAGAACTCTACCACTAAGCTACACCTAAATTGCCTTTCAATCATAAAACAGTACTATTGGGATGGGGGTGCAGCTCAGTGCTAGAGTATGTGCCTCGCTGAGGTGATGCCCTGGGCTCTATCTACCCCATGCCAACAAGAAAAGGGAAGGGAAGGGAAAAAGGGAAAAGTATGTTAATGAATCTAATACAAATAAAATTTGTAAGCTCAAAGCAAAAAGACAACTATGTTCACATACGCCAAAAGACTCAAAAACAAATGCTGCAGAGAAAACCAGGCATGAATGTTAGGAACTTAGCGGGATTATTCAGAGTAGCCTCAAGGCAAAAGGTCTTGTGGTATATGATCCTATTCATAGGAAAGGTCATGTAGTATATGATCCCATTCATAGAAAATGCCCAACACAGGTAAATACAAAGATAGAAAGATGGTTGGGTTCCAGCACTGGGAAGGCTGAGATGGGAGGATCATGGCCAGCCTGAGCTACACAGTGAGACCCAGTCTGAGAAAGAAAGGGCTGGGGAGGACACTCAGTTGGTAAAATGCTCGCTGCTCAAGCATGAAGCCCTGCATTTGATCCTCAGCACCCCTGTTAAAAAGACCCAGTTTAGCAGGGCGTGGTGGCACACGACTTTAATCCCAGCACTCGGGAGGCAGAGGCAGGCGGATCTCTGTGAGTTGAAGGCCAGCCTGGCCTACTAGTGAGTTCTAAGCCAGCTGGGGCTACAGGGAAACCCTTGTCTCAAAAAGACCAAAAATAAAAATTAAAAACAGCCCAGTTTAGCAGCATGTGCCTATAATTTCAGAGCTGGGGAGATAGAGACAGGAGGGTCCCTGGGCTCGCTGGCCAGCCAGCACAGCCAGTTGGTGAGCCAGGTTCAGTGAGAGACCCTGTCTCAATAACCAAGGTAGTGGGCTGGAGAATCTCTCAATGGTTAAAGGCACTTGCTGCTCTTGAAGAGGACCTGAGTTCAGCTCCCGGCACTCACACAGTGGCTCACAATCTCCAATAACTCCAGTTCCAGGGATCTGACGTCCTCTTCTGGACTCCGTGGGCACTGCATTCACACAGTGCACTTAAACAAAAAAAATAACAAATGAATCTCTTTTTTTTTTATGTGTATGAGTGTATTGCCTGCATGCATGTGAGAGCACCTGTGTCATGCATTGCTGAGGAGGTCAGAAGAGGGCCTCGGGTTCCCCTGGAACTGGAGTCAAGGACAGTTCGTAGCTGCCATGTGGGTGCTGGGAATCGAACCCGGGTCCTCTGCAAGAGCAGTCAGCGCTCTCAACTGTTGAGCCATCTCTCCAGTCCCACAAATGAATCATTTTTTAAATGGTGAATGATGTAGGAAGACACAATATTGACCTCTGGTCTCCACATATGCACCTGTACACACACACACACACACACACACACACACACAGCAGAATAAATAAAATATTTTTAAACAGTGAAAACTGGGGCCAGGCGTGGCGGCACTTTACCAAGTGTTTTACCAACAGAGCCATTTCCCAGTCCTCATCCCATGTTTTCTAGCCACATGCACAGCCTCCTCTTTCCAGTACAATGTGGATGTGCCTGCTTGGGGCTGGCCTCACCTTGCATCAGCTGCCGCTGTGCCTGGATAACCTGCTGGCACAGCAGCTGGTGCTGGTGGTAACGCTGGATCACAAAATCCTTCTGGCATAGCAGGTTCCTGTGGCACAAGTTGTCTGCCTGCAGCTCCGTGTTCTCCACTTCCAGCTCGTGGGCCCTGCACAGTAGCCGTAGCACCTCCCGCTGATCTTCGCGAATCACCTGCCTGGGCAGCAGCTTCTCCATCTGTGAGGCCTTCTGCTTGGCGTGGGCCAGACGCTGCTCCAGCCCAGCCTGCAGGAGACACAGGGAGCTTGAGGCAAGCACTGACACCAGTCTGTCATCCTCAGGAGACAGGTGGCAGTCATCCCGAAAGATAAGCCACTGTGAGGGCTAAAACTGATTGTCTACATGACAGGACCCAGAATCACCTAGGAACAAAACCTCTGCGCATACCTGTGAGGCATTACCTAGACTGAATCAACTGTGGTGGGTAAACCCATCTTAAATGTGCATGACCCACTTCCATAGGCTAGGGCTCTGGACCGAATTAAAAGGAGAAAGCAAGCTGAGCACCAGCATTCATCTGTCTCTACTTCTTGACTGTGGATGCCATGTGACCAGCTGCCTCACTCTCCTGTGCCATGATAGACTGTGCCCTTGAACCGTGAGCCAAAACAAATCTTTCCTCCCATAAGTTGCTTTGGCTTGGTATTTTGTCCCAGGAACAAGAAAAGTAACTAGTATACCTACCATCCCTGGGACTAACCCTATATCTGGCTTAAAATTTTTTAATATCTTTGGTCTTGCTGATCCAGGGGGGCTTAGCCAGCTCCTGGACAGGGCAAGCAATTCACCTGTGAGTTCGGTTTTCAAGTGAAAGCCCATGGGTGCAGAGCCCACCATTCCAGCCTCCTCAGGTGGAGTGACACCCTGGGCCACCATCCACCTGTCCTACCAGAGGATAGTACCAAACATTGAGGGATAGCACCAAGGCACCAGTGCTCACAGTGAGGGTCTAAACAGCTGTGGTGAGTGTAGTCCTCTGACAGACTAACCCCATCTTGTAGCAAGCAGCTGTTCTACACACCAAGACAGGCTGTCCTTTCCAGGACAATGGGACAATGGACAGGGTTTCCCTAAAGTAGCAGAGTCCCTATTGAGGGCAAGCACGGAGTGTGAGTACACATGTCACCTTCCCCAAGTTTAGTTCTGTCTACACCTTACGTTGTCGGAGTCTGCGGTCAATGGTGCTGTTTCCACACTAGTGCCCCGAACCCAGGTTTGCAGGAATTCTGCTGTAGACTCAGAGCCATACAGTATGAGTGTGGTGGTGCACATCTTTAACGCCAGCACTTGGGAGGCAGAGGAAGATGGATCTCTGTGAGTTCAAAGCCAGTCTGATCTATATAGCAAGTTCCATGCCATCTAGGACCATGCATCAAAAAATGAAGTAAAGGGCTGGAGAGATGGCTCAGTGGTTAAGAGAACTGGCTGCTCTTGCCAAGGACCTGGGCTTGGTTGCCAGCCACATGGCAGCTAACAACCATCCATAACTCCAGTTCCAGGGGATCCGATGCCCTCTTCTGACCTCCACATGGGTGTACTTATATATGTGCAGGCAATACACTCATATACATAAAGTTAAAATAAATAAAAGTATTTTTAAAGAAATAAAATAGGAGTTGTGGCTAGAGAGATGGCTCAACAGTTAAGAGTGCGTACTGTTCCTGAAGAAGATCCAGGTTCAGTTCCCAAGTACTCTGTCAAGCAGTTCACAACCTCCTGTAAGTCCAGTTCCAGGAGATTCAACACTGTCTTTTGACCTCCGAGGGCACTGTACTCACATGCACAGACACAGACACAGACACACACACACATATACATAAGTAAAAATACCATAGCTGGGGCGCTGGAGAAATGGCTCAGTGGTTAAGAGCACTGACTGCTCTTGCAGAGGACCCGGGTTCGATTCCCAGCACCCACATGGCGGCTACAAACCGTCCTTAACTCCAGTTCCAGGGGAATCCGAAGCCCTCTTCTGACCTCCAAGGCATTGCATGACACGGGTGCACTCACATACATGCAGGCAATACACTCATACACATAAAATAAAAATAATAAATTTAAAAAATAGCAGTTAAGGGCACTGACTGTTCTTGCAGAGGACCCGGGTTTAGTTCCCAGTACCACTTGGTGGTTAACAGTCTATAATTCCATTTCCAGGGGATCCTATGCCCTCTTGTTGCCTCCACATGCATTAAACTCACATGCAGGCAAACACATAAAATAAAAACAAGTAAATTAAATAAAATAGCAGGCATGGTGGCACATGCATCAGTTCCAGCACTTGGGAGGCAGAGGTAGGCAGATCTCTGTGAAATCAAGGCCAGCCTGGTCTACATAGGGAGTTCCAAGTTCACTGGGGCTACAGAGAGACCCTGTCTCAAGAACAAAAACAACAACAACAACAAAAGAAAGATAAATATCTTTTGAGATGAAATAAAATGGGAACTTGGCAGGAAGGGGCTGGCAACTTCAGAGAAAATGCAGCCATTCCCACAGCACCCCCCAAGAAACCCCTAATTAAACTCACTCACTCTTCCAGCTGAACTTGGACAACAATAAACAAAAAAAAAACCTCTACGGTTTCAGGTAGCCCAGGCTGGTCTCAAACTCACTAAGTAGTTGAAGGTGACCTTTAACTCCTGATCCTCCTGCTCTACTTCCCAGGTTCTGGGATTTGGGGCATGTACCACTACACCTGGTTTATGCAGTGTTGAGGATGGAACCCAGGGCTCTGTATATGCTAGGCAAACACTCTATTAACTGAGCCATATGCCTAGCCCTTGAATGAGATATTATTTCTTTTTTTTCAGTCTTTTGGGGACAGGTTCTCTCTATAGCCCTGGCTGGCCTGGAACTTACTATGTAGACCAGGCTGGCCTTGATGATCTCACAGAAACCTGCCTGTCTCTGCCTCCCAAGTGTGGGGATTAAAGGCATGCTCCATCATGTCTGGCTCTTGAATGAACTATTCTTGGGACTGTTGGTGCTATCCCACTTTGGGGGCAGATGTTAATTTCACTTCTCCCCAGAACACAGGCCCATGCTGAGCCTGCCTGCCCGGCCTGCCTGCTCCATCCCACAGAGAACACAGTGAGGGCTCTCGGCCCCTTTCCACTCACTACCCTGCTTCCTCAACAGCAGAAAAACAGACTCTCCCATTTGACACTGTAGGATGTCTCTGGTGTGCCTCACACCCAGGCCCCAATTCTCTCAAGCTGTATGTGAGGGTAAGCTTGGAGGGCCGAGGCCCAGCCTGCCTACCTCAGGCTCACTCTGCTCACCCTGTGGGAAATGAACTGGGAGCCCTGAGACCTGCCTATGGCTTGGAGCCAGGTTCCGCACACCCACCAGGCAAGGCTCTCCAGCTATGTGAGGCAAGCACTCTACCACTAAGCTACACCTACATAGCTGTGGACATACACTTGTTTCTGGACACACATGCACATGTGTGTGTATGCTGATGGAGATGCTGACCACATCTACAAAACATGTTCTGGCAACTTGTGGCCCTGCATCCTGGAGTCTGCTCAGGGTGACTCAGCAACGTAACTATCACACCACACAACTAACCTCAGCCCCCAGAGAGTCATGTGGAGCCCTGGCTGCCTTGTAAGCTTAGAGTCACAGTCCCCAAGGAAAGAGCAGACAGATAACAGCAGAGGAAGATGTGCTCTGGCCACCTTCGTTATGATCTAAGATTGATTCTACTCCCCTCCTGCCAACTCCCCTCTAGGCCGCCTCCCCTGAAGTGCTCCCCAACTCCCCTTTATCCTGCTTCTTCTTAGTCCTCCCAGCTCCACCTGGCCCCTCTGAAGTCCTCCTTCCTATCTGTTCTCTCCTTAGTCCTTCCCAGACTTCTAGGCCCCCTACATCTGGCATTCCCTGAAGTCTTCCCAACTGCCCTCTACCCGGCCTCCCCTCAATCCTCACCAACTCCCTTCCATCTGACTTCCCCTCTGTTTTCCCTCACTCCCTTACATCCTGCCTTCCCTCTGTCCTCCCTAACTCCATCTGGCCTCTTCTGAAGTCCTCCTCTGCCCCCACCATGCAGCCTCCCAAATTCTCCCCAACTCCCAACCCCCTTTTTTATCTTTTTTTAAAAAATATTTTATTTTTTTATTTTATGTGTATGAGTGTTTTGCCTGCATGTATGTGAGTGCACCCATGTCGTGCAATGCCGTGGAGGTCAGAAGAGGGCTTCAGATTCCCCTGGAACTGGAGTTAAGGACGGTTCGTAGCTGTCATGTGGGTGCTGGGAATCGAACCTGGGTCCTCTGCAGGAGTAGTCAGTGCTCTTAACCGCTGAGCCATTTCTCCAGCCACCCCTGTTTTTCTTCTTTTTAAAGATAGGATCTCATGTAGCCCAGGCTGGCCTCAAACTCTAGGCAGCCAAGTTCAATGATGAATTGATCTTCCTGCCTCCACCTCGTGAGTGCTGGGATCACAGGTGTGCACCACCATACCCGGTTTATGTGGTGCTGGGGGTGGAACCCAGGGCTTCCTGCATGCTAGGCGAACACTCTACCAACTGCACTACACCCCAGTCCCAGGCAACACCTGTGAACCTGAGGCTCACATGACCATGACCTCCTAGTCAGCTGTGCTCCTTGGGATGCACAGATGGATACCCACCATCCATGTGACAGCACTGCCTCCCTCTCCCTCACCTTGAGGGCTGCAGTTTTCTGCTGCTCAGCCAAGAGCAGCGTCACCTCCTCTCTGGCCAGTGCCACCTCTGGGGGCTCTGCAGATTTGCCCTCCTCCCCGTCGGCATGCCCTGGCTCATCCTTCCTGCCGCTGTCCACATGCACGTGGTGGTGGGTCTTCTCCTGTTCCCAGCTGCAGCCAAGACACAGGAGGCGTCAGAGGTCAGTCATGGCTAAGCTTGGAGTCCTGCATCTCCCTCCCAGAGCTTCACAGGCCTCGCCGGCCTCCTCACAGGTGTGGGGAGAAATTCTGATCTTTTCTGTGTATCTACCCAACCCTCATCCCACTCGAGCCAATGACAGCCACCTCCTACAGAAAGGTGCCTCCTGACCCTTGCTCTCCTCGCTGTAAAGCTGGGATGCTGAAAGCTATGTGCCCAGGGGAAGTGGCTGGGCTCTGCCAACAAGGGCAGCACAATGAACCAAAGCAGGAGGATCCATGGACACTGGGAAATAAAGGAAGAATGAGGGAGCCACAGCAAGTGAATATGTGGCCAGAAAGGGGCAAGACATTCTGTGATTGCATTTTTAAAGTTTAGAATGGAGGAGGAAAGGGAGGGGAAGAAGAAGAGAACAGAAAGGGGAGGGGAGGGAAGAGAAAAAGGGGAGGGAGTGAGGGGAGAAAAGGAGAGGTGGAAGGAAAGGAGGGAAAAGGATGGGGAGGAAAGAGGAGGGGATGTGAGGCAGAGCAGAGGGTGAGGGGAAGGAACAGGTTACGTGACAGTGCTGTTACTTAAGTGCTGTTTGAAGCCACCTCTAAGTGGCTGGCCATGTGTCCTGGCTTCTTCAGGGCAACTGGAGGGACACCCACTGCTCCAGTGTAATAGTTACCAATGTCCCTTTGACCTACAGATGCCTGGAGTGGACAACGGGCATCCCAGTCAGTGTCTGCACAGGGTCCCTCTGCCCTTGGTGGGGACATACAGGGAGGGCATGTAGAGTCAGAGAGAGGACAGCAGTCTAGGAGGAGTGGGACTAAAGGCAAAGTTGCATCTGCTCTGAGCCTCAACATCTTCCACAGATCATTTTAGTCCTCCATGACCCACTGGGCTGGCTCTGGACCCCAGCCAGGAGAGGTCCAAGAGATCTAAAAGCTTCTCCTATTTGGCCCAACTTAGCCATGAGGGCAGAACAAGAGAGACAGGGGCCCTGCCTTCTTGGGGACCTGCGGATGACAGCAACAGAAGAGGCCTCACCAGCGCCCCCTTTCTGCTCCTGTGGTTTCCCCTGCCTAGTGGGATGCAGTGTGTAGCAGGGCACTCACTCTGCAATGGTCAGCAGATGGCGAGACATGTCTATGTGCAACTCAATGTTGGTATTCTCCAGCTCCACCAGGCTGCGCCGCATCTCCATCTGCTCCTTGAAAGCCCCAATGAGCTGCGCTCGGATCTTGTTCATCTGAAGACGGTTATCTTCTTCTGCATCATGGGGGGTGATTGTAACTGTGGGTGGGAAGGGTACTGGTTGTACCAGGAGCATGGCCAGCCAGGCAAGGGTTGAACTCCATGCCCACCCACCAAAATGAGCTATGGCCCATGAAGAAGTTTAACATACATGGGTGGATGGATGGGTGGATGGATGAAGGATAAGTGGTTGGATGGATGGATAAGTAGATTGATGGTGTATAGACTGCTGAATGGATGGATGGATGGATGGGTGGCTGGATGAATATGTGGACTAATGGATGGCTATGTGGGTGGATGGATGTATAGATGGGGAGATAGGTAGATGGTATACAGATGAATGGATGGATAGAGGAAAAAATCTGTAGACAGGTAGGTAGATGGCTGGTACATAAATGGGTGAATGGAAAGATGGATGTGTAGATGGGTAGGTGGACAGATGGATGGATTGGTGGATGGGTAGATGGATGAATGGGTAGATGGGTGGATGGGTGGATGGGTAGATGGGTGGATGAGTGGATGGACGAATGGGTAGATGGGTGGATGGGTAGATGGGTGGATGGGTGGATGGGTAGATGGATGAATGAGTGGATGGGTAGATGGGTGGATAGGTGGATGGGTGGATGGATGAATGAGTGGATGGGTGGATGGTGGATGGGTGGATGGATGAATGAGTGGATGGGTGGATGGATGGATGGGTGGATGGGTGGATGAGTGGATGGGTGGATGGGTGGATGGGTGGATGAGTGGATGGGTGTATGGGTGGATGGATGGATGGGTGGATGGGTGGATGGATGGATGGGTGGATGGGTGGATGGATGAATGAGTGGATGGGTGGATGAGTGGATGGGTGGATGGATGGATGGATTGGTGGATGGATGAATGAGCAGATGGGTGGATGGGCAGATGGGTGGCTGGGTGGCTGGGTGGATGGATGGATGGGTGGATGGGTGGATGGGTGGATGGATGGATGCATGGATGCATGAGTAAATGCATGGGTGGATGGGTGGATGGATGGGTGGATGGGTGGGTGGATGGATGGATGGAAGGGTGGATGGGTGGATGGGTGGGTGGATAGATGGGTGGATGGATGAATGAGCGGATGGGTGGATGGATGGGTGGATGGGTGGATGAGTGGATGGGTGGATGGATGGATGGGTGGATGGATGGATGGGTGGATGGGTGGATGGGTGGATGGGTGGATGGATGGATGCATGGATGCATGAGTAAATGCATGGGTGGATGGGTGGATGGATGGGTGGATGGGTGGGTGGATGGATGGATGAGTGGATTGGTGGATGGATGAATGAGTGGATGAGTGGATGGGCGGATGGGTGGATTGGTGGATGGATGAACGAGCGGATGGGTGGATGGGTGGATGGATGAATGAGTGGCTGGGTGGATGGATGGATGGACGGATTGGTGGATGGATGAATGAGTGGATGGGTGGACGGGTGGATGGATGAATGAGTGGCTGGGTGGATGGATGGATGGACGGATTGGTGGATGAGTGGATTGGTGGATGGATGAATGAGTGGGTGAGTGGATGGGCGGATGGGTGGATGGGTGGATGGGTGGATGGGCGGATGGGCGGATGGGCGGATGGGCGGATGGGTGGATGGGTGAATGAGCGGATGGGTGGATGGGTAGGTGTCAGGGCTTCACTTCTCTTTGAAAGGTCTTAATTTTTGTACAATTTATGTATTACTCATTTAATAAGCATTTAATTCCCTAGCACTTTACTTTTAGCTAGTCCAAGAAGTGAAAACTGTTTCAACTTACATCTCTGCTTCCTAAAGTATTAGAGACTTTTCATATGCTTACTGCAATATTGACCCTTCTGTAGGGCCAGCAAGATAGGGCTCAGCAGGTAAAGTGCTTGCAGTCAAGCTCAATGACCAGAGTTCTATCTCAGGGATCCAACTGAAGGAAGGAACTGACTTCCAAAAGTTGTCCTCTGGCATTCATACATTCACCATAGAACACACACACACACACACACACACACACACACACATACACACACACCACACAAATATGTACACACACACGAAACACAAATAAATAAATAAAATGAAAATAAAAAATAAAAATAAAAGTGTGCGCCACTACAATCAGCCCTTCCAGGATTTCCCTTCCCCTTATTTATCTAATTAATTAAATTTTTAATGAATTTTTGCAAGTTTCATACAATATACTTTGGTATATTGTATGACCCCCTCCCCTATCTGAACCCCCTTATCTTATAGCCCCCCCCCGCTTGTCTTCATGTGCTCTGTTGAGACAATATCTCTCATTGAACCTGGAGTTCATCAACTGGCTAGGCTAGGTGGCCATCGAGCCCCAGTAATCTTCCCCACCCCCTCCTCCCCCGCCCCATGCTGGGGTGACAGACACACACAGCTGCACCAGGCTAGTATGAAGGTGCTGAGAAGCAGAACTTGGGTCTTCACAGCACTTTACTGAGTGGGCCATCTCTGCAGCTCGATACAGCACAGGGTTCTTATGGCCCCCATCTTATGACTTTTGTCTTTTTTTTTTTTTTTCTTTTTTTCTTTTTGAGACACAGTCTCATGTATCCCAGACTGGCCTCAACCTCTCTATAACCTGAATTTGATCCCCAGAAGCCCACACAAAAGCCAGGTACAGTGGTTTATATCTGATATCTTAGCACTGGGGAGGTGGAGAGGGGGCAACTCTGGGGCTCACTGGCCAGCAGCCTAGCCCAGTTCATGAGCTTTGAATTCAGTGAGAGACCCAGTCTCAAAAAATAAGATTGGAGCTGGCATGGTGGCACATGCCTTTAATCCTAGCACTTGGGAGGCAGAGGCAGGTGGATCTCTGTGAGTTCAAGACCAGCCTGGTCTACATAGTGAGTCCCAGGCCAGCTGGGGATACAGGGAGACCCTGTCTCAAAAACACCAAAAAAAAAAATAAATAATATAATAATAATGATAAAATATTTTTATTTTATAAAATAAGAGAGTTATCAAGGAAGACATTCAACACTGACCTATCTATGGCTTTCATGTGCATACATGCACATTTGAACATATACCACAAACACACACACAAAAAAAAGAAAATGAAATTTCTGGAGAGGTGGCTCAGCAGTTAAGAGCACCTGCTGCTCATCCAGAGGACCTGAGTTCAGTTCCCAGCACCTTCATCAGGCAGCTCATGACCACCAGCTGTAACTCCAACTCTGGGGGATCTGACAACTTCCTCTGGCCTTCTCAAGCACCGCCCTCCATGCGTATGTGGCATACATTCACATAGACACACACATAATATAAGTTAAAATAAGAAACAAAATGAAATATAGAAAAAAGCAGAAAATAACCTAGTGGACAGATCTTGTAGGTAGAAAACTGGAGCCAGGCTTGGGCTCCCAGAGAGGCAGTGGCCAGACTATAACAGCAGCCCATGCCTGAGCCACCAGGTTGCTGTGGATGCAGTCACTCAAAGTGGCCAAGGATAGGTACTCAGGTGGAAGGAGGATGGGTCCACAAGACCTGGGTGTTGAGCACGAGGCCCTAGGTAGGGCAGGTGCTGAGCTTGCTCAAGGCACAGACCCACACTATCTCTGTGTCTAATACCTTGTACATCCGGGACACCAGCTTCCATTTTCTTCTCCTGCTTCTCAAGCTTTGACTTGAGGTGCTCGATCTCCCTGCGCAGGTCGGAGATTACATCCGTGTACTGTGCAATTCGGTAGGAGACATTCAGCAGGTTGCGCTTGACCTGGAGAAGAAGACGTGGCCTCCCATGTGGTGGGAGGCTCCCTGAAGGATAGGCTTGAGAGATGCTGTATAACATGGCATGGTATAAACAAACTTCAAGGCTGTCAGAGTGATGGTAAGCTTTAATGTCAACCTGACAACCTAGAATCACCTAGACAGAGAATCTTAGTGAGGGATCGTCTACATTGGGTTGGCCTGTGGGCATGTCTGTGAGGGATAGTCTTAAGTTAACTGAGTGCGAAGGCCCAGTTCACTGTGGTGGTACCATTCCCTAGGCAGGGGTCCTGAACTAGGTTGAGTGGAGAAACGGAGCTGAGCACTGGCAAGTAAGCAAGCGTGCACACATTCATTTCTCTCTGCCATTGACTATGGATGTCATGTGGCTGGCTATTTGGAGTCCCTGCTGCCTTGACTTCCAGTGGATGGACTGTAACCTAGAATTGTGAGCTAAACTAAACTAGGGCTGGAGAGATGGCTCAGTGGTTAGGAGCACTGCTGTGGTAGAGAACCTGAGTTTTATTCCCAACACCCACATCAGGAGGCTCACAGCTGTCTGTAACTCCAGCTCCAGGCGTCAGATGCCCTCTTCTGGCCTCTCTGAACACCCATACATATGTAGCATACACCCAAATGAACATATACATAATGTAAAAAAAAAAATCTTTAAAAAAAGGCCAGGGGTGGTGGTACACTCCTTTAATCTAAGTACTCGGGAAGCAGAAGCACTACATAGACCAGGCTGGCCTTGAACTCACAGAGATCCACCTGCCTCTGCCTCCCCAGTGCTTGGATTTAAAGGCATGTGCCACCATGCCTGGCTAACATATAATAAATTTTAACTGAAATTTTTGTTCCATGCATATGGTACCATAATAAAATTTTTTCAAATATGCTGTGCATAATGGCCCAGCACTTTAATCAGTCAGTGCTATATAGTAAAACCCTGTTTCAGAAAACAAACCAAAACAAAAATTTAAATAATCCTTTTTTTTTCAGTCTTTTTGCAACAGGGTCTCCCTGTAGCCCCAGCTGGCCTAGAACTCACTATGTAGACCAGGCTGGCCTTGAACTCACAAAGATCCACCTGCCTCTGCCTCCCCAGTGATGGGATTAAAGAGCCTGGCGTCCATCAGTTTTTTTTTTGTTGTTGTTGTTGTTTTTTTAAAGAAACCTTCTCACCAGTAACTATCATTGTGGGAGAAGGGGAGTATGCATGCTCACATGGGTGTACATGTCTATACATGCATGTGGAGGTCAGAGGTCGACCTCAAAGTCATTCCTCAGACACCATCCACCTTGGTTCATTAGGTTTGTTTTGTTTTCTTTTGTTTTGTTTTAGACAGGGTCTCACTGTGTAGCCCTGGCTGGCCTGGAACTCACTGTGTAGACCAAGCTGGCTTCCAATGTATAGGGATTCACCTGCCTCAGCCTCTCAAATGCTGGGATTAAAGGCATGCACCTACCTTGTTTTTTGTTTTGTTTTAGACAGGGTCTCACTGTGTAGCCCTGGCTGGCCTGGAACTCACTATGTAGACCAGGCTGGCTTCCAATGTATAGGGATTCACCTGCCTCAGCCTCTCGAATGCTGGGATTAAGGGCATGCACCTACCTTGTTTTTTGTTTTGTTTTAGACAGGGCCTCTCACTGTCCAGGAACCATCAAGTAAGCTAAGCTGGCTGGCCAGTGAGCCCCAGGGATCTGCCTGTCTTCTCTTTTGCAGCTCTGGGATTACATATACACTTCAACACACCTGACTTTTTCTGCATGCGTTCTGGGGACTGAACTCAGGTCTTCACGCTTTCACAGCCTGCTCTTCACCCACTGAGCCATCATCTCCTTGGCCCACTTACCCTGGTCTTGATGTTCTTCGCCCTATAGGCGTAGAGCAGCGTGGTCCGTGACTCTTCAAAGCTGCTGCTGGCAGGGCTGATATGGGCGATCATCACTGTGCGGCTGTTCCCTCCCAGGGCATCCTGCTCAGGGGGAAACAGCAGAGCTGGGACAATGGGAGCCACATGTTCCCCCACCGACCTGTGGTCCTGCCTGCCAGTGATCCTAGCCCTTCTGAGTACCACCAGAACTCTGGGAGCCCGCCTGGCTGATACTGCAGACCAGGATGGAGCCAGTGCCTGGGGAGGTGACCCTCAAGAAGAAGTAGGGCACACTTCAGGACCCCCATCTGATGCCCTGATGAAGAAAAGTTAAACAAAGGGGGCAGATACATAGAAACATTTACTTAGAGTTTTGCATATCTGTTTGGACTACAGTGAAGTGAAAGCATCCAGATCAATACAGAGAAGACTTTTCTCATGTTAAAGCCATCCATGACGGAACAGGCAGTCTTGGGGAGGGAGTGAGCTCCCTGTTGCTGGGGACATGTGTGCTGGATAGCTTTAGTGTCAACTTGATACACCTGGATTGAGGGAGCCTCAATCGGGGAATTGCCTCTATTGGACTGGCCTGTGGCCATGTCTGAGGGGCATCTTCTTGATGAGTGATGTGGGAGGGCCCAGCCCACTGTGGGTGGTGCCACCCCTGGGCAGGTGGGCCTGTGTTGCATAAGAAAGCAGGCTGAGCAGGGGCCAGGAGAGCAAGCCAGGAAGCAGCGTTCCTCCATGGCCTGTGCTCCAGCTCCTGCCTCCAGGTTCCTGCCCTGAGTTCCTACCTTGGGCTCCCTGATGAACTGCGACCTGGGAGATGTAAGACAAATAAACCCTTTCCTCCCCCATGTTGGTATTGGTCAGAGTATTTTGTCACAGCAATGAAGAAACAGACTAAGACAGAACAGGCAGTCTTGGGGAAGGGGTGAGCTCCCTGTTGCTGGGGACATGTAAGCAAAACTGACCCATAATCGGAATGGTAAAGGGGGAGTCAGGCATTGGCCAGATATATGTCCTATACAGTACTGACCTCAGAGGCTCCTGGAAGGAGTCTGAGACTCAAGTCTGGGCCTCCATACTGGCAGTTAAATCCTGGTTGCAGTGGCCTCCCCCACTTCCAGCCAGAGCACCCACCTTCAGCAGGCGTGTGAGTTTGCTGTCACGGAAGTTCACGTACTGCGCCCGGCTGCCGCCTTTCTCGCTGAGCGCATTGATGCAGTTGCCCAATGCCAGCAGCGAACGGTTGATGTGCGCACCCTCCTTCATCCTCTTGCCTCGGTTCTGGGTCTGAGTAGGGAAAGGCCAGGCTGAACAAGAATGTGAGTCCTTTCCTACTGACACCTCTCCCTCCCTATCCCTAAGGAGGGTACTGAAGCCCAGAGTACACTACTGGCCCTGTCTGTCCTGGTGCTAAGAGGTCATGAGGCCCAGGGACTGGAGACCCCTGACAACAGCATTGGCAGTGGAGTATTATGAAGCCATTTTGAGGTTGACACTAACTGAGATAAACAGATTGGAGAGGCATCTCCTGCAGACAATTCTGCTTGTAACTAGAATCCTCCAGTGAGGGGCTGGGGTTGTGGCTCAGTGGTAGAGCACCTGCCTAGAATCCCCCAATGAGGGACTGGGGGCATGGCTCAGTAGCAAGTTCTACCACTTGCCTAGAACATGGTCAGGTCTTCAACTCCTTGGAACTGTGGCAAGATACCTTTTTAGTGGCAGTCATCCCCAACCTATAGGTTTCACTGAACCCTATGGTTTCTGTTAATACACTGTATTTTATTTTATTTTATTTATTATTTTTATTTATTTGTTTATTTATTTATTCATTTATTTATTTATTTACCCGGCCTTTATTTATTATTTTTATTTTATGTGTAGGAGTGTATTGCCTGCATGTATGTGAGTGCACCCATGTCATGCAATGCCACAGGGGCCAGAAGAGGGCTTCGGATTCCCCTGGAACTGGAGTTAAGGACAGTTCGTAGCTGCCATGTGGGTGCTGGGAATTAAACCTGGGTCCTCTGCAAGAGCAGTCAGTGCTTTTAACCACTGAGCCATCTCTCCAGCCCCTTACTTTTATTTTTTAATATTTTATTATAGCCAGGCATGGTGGTGCACACCTTTAATCCCAGCACTCGGAAGGCAGAGGTAGGCAGATCTCTCTGTGAGTTAGAAACTAGCCTGGTCTACATAGCAAGTTCCAGGTCAGCTGGGGCTACAGGAGATCCTGTCTCAAAAAATACCAAAAAAAAAATTTATATTATTTTTTAATTTTATGTGTGTGAGTGTATTGCCTGCATGTAGGTAGGTGTACATGTGTCGTGCAATACCCACAGAGGTTAGAACAGGGCACTGGATCCCCTGGAACTGGAGTTATGAACAATTGTTAGCCACTATATGGGTGTTGGGAATCAAACCCGGGTCCTCTGCAAGAGCAGCCAGTGCTCTTAACTGATGAGCCATCTTTCTAGACCCTGTTTTCATTAATTTTTATTTTTTTTGTGTATGAGTGTTTTATCTGCACATATGCAAGTGCATCACATGTACACATGTGTGCAAGGCCCATGGAGGCCAGAAGAGGGCATCAGATCCCATGGAACTGGAGTTACAGATGGTTGTTAGCTGCCATCCGGGTCCTGGGAACTGAACAGGGTCCTCTGCAAGGGCAGCCAGAGCTCTTAACTGCTGAGCCACCTCTGTAGCCTCAACACACTGTATTTTAACAGTCTGACTGAGCAGCCTATTGGCTTCGGCAGCCTGGGCTTCAAGGGCAGGGCCAGGCCCAGAGCAAAGAGTGAGTCAACAGAAAAGCTATTAAATGACCATTTAAATCATAGTATAGACCATAGGGCAGGGAGAGTGCGTCAAACTTCCCTGGGTTTAAAGTTATTGGTAGTGCACGCCTTTAATGCCAGCACTGGGGAGGCAGAGGCAGGAGTACCTCTGTGAGTTTGAGGCTATCCTGGTCTGCACAGTGAGAACTTGCCTGAAGATTGAGATGAGATGAGATGAGATGAGATGAGATGAGATGAGATGAGATGATGAGATGAGATGATGAGATGAGAAAAGATAAAAGTCAAATTGATTACTTAATGTCTCTGACCTTGAAATCTCTATGTAGCTAAGGATGGCCTTGAACTTCTGGTCCTCCAACCTCCATCTCCCTCCAGAGTGCTGGGATTTAGGTGTGGACCACACTCAGTTTATGCAGTCCCTCAGATGGAACCTAGGGCTTTATGCATGATAGGCCAGCACTCTACCAACTGAGCCACATCTCCAGCCCCCTCTTTTTGTGTTTTTCAGACAGGGTCTTGCAATGTTGCCCAGGCCTGCCTGAAATTTATGACCCTCCTGCCTCAGCTTCCCAAGTGCTGGGATGACAAGGATGCCCCACCAGGCCTGGCTCTGAGTCTGTATTATAAAGCAGGCACAGTGTCAAGCTGGACCCTCACCAGGGAGGCCTACAGGACTGTAAGCATCGAGTGCGCCTTATACTGGAAGGTCACGTAACAATGGGTCCAACTCTTATCAACTCCTTCCCTGGCCTAGTCCCAACCTGGCCCCCAGTCCAGAAAGAATGCTCAGGTCACAGGGTCACATTTGAGAGACAGAACAACAGAAGCCAGGGGCAGGTGAGCTGGGGAGGGGTGGAACCCACAGCAACTCCTGCCACTCCTGCAGCTGTCCCTCTGCACCGACCTGTCCACAGCCTTTGCCCCAAATGCTCTTCCTTGTACTCCAATCCAACTCTTTAGGACCTGTCTGGGCTCAGCCCTGAAACCCCACCACAGGCTCCGTGAACCCCAACTCCCCTAGCATAGGCTCCTGGGTGTTGCTATCACGGTCCGACACTTGCAGTTTCCTAAGAAAGGGCAAGTTGCAACTCACCTTCATGTCTCCAGGCCCAGGATGAGCCCATCCTGCAAGCAGATGCAGAATGAGCTGCTTGCCACATGGAAAGTGCCCCCAAAGCACTGGCCCCATGCCTTCCTCACTATAGGCTTGCAGAATTTATTCCCTCAGCAGACACTTAGCCGCAGCATCTTCTGGGCCCAGCACTGTTCCAGGTGCTGAAGGACAGCTAGACAAGGACAGGTGCAGTTCTGCTCACACTGAGGGTGACAGACCCCAAGTGCAAGATTGTAATGACACCTGAAGGTGGGGGCACCTCAGGGCCTGTACCTGGGATGCACGCTCTGAGCCTGCCAGGTCCACCATGAAGAGCCTCCCAAGGCCCACTTCCTCAGTCAGGTCAGCGCCTCGGCTCCGCTGGTGCACAGTGACCTGCAGCACTGCGTGGGAACGGGATGACGTCTTGTTGGCAGCTGTGGGCTCCTGTGTGCGCTGCCGGTTGCCTTTGGTGAGGAGCTGCATTATCTGAGGACAGAGGGTTAGGAAGGCAGGTCACAGAACTAAATGGCCACATGTACATTCTACAAAGACCCAGAAGGGTGGCTCCAGGGTTGGGACTTTTATGCCAGTATTTTTGGTTTACAGCATGAGATGATTAGATAAATCAACTAGCAGAGCAGGAGTTGCAGATTCTTCACATGAGTGCCCTCTGCCCATTCTCTGCCAAGGACAGACATCACCAATGGATTACCTATCTCCTCGTTTCTTTTTTTAAAATTTTATTTATTTATTTTCATTTCTTACGTATATGAGTGGATTGCCTGCATATATGTAAGTGCACCTGTGTTTGTACAATGCCTGCGGAGGTCAGAAGAGGCATCAGTTCCCCAAAACTGAAGCTACAAATGGTTATTAGCTCCCATATGGGTGCTGGAACTGAACCCAGGTCCTCTGCAAGAGCAGCCAGGGCTCTTAACCGCTGAGCCATCTCTCTAGGCCCTTCTTTCTTTTCTTTAAAGGCAAGGTGTTAGAATCCCAGCACCCACATGGCAGCTAAAAACCATCAGTAACTTTGAGAAACAAAGGGCCTGTGGTTGCTGGAGCTTGGTTAGCACAGCCAGGCCCACACATGAAGACGAGAACTCTACTGATCTAGAGGCAAGGGGGAGCCATGGAAACTCCTGGAGCAGGAGGAGGCCCAGCCAGATCTCTCAGCAGCCCACCTTTAGGGCAGTGCCAAACTTAGAGAAAGTAGAGAGGGGGCCAGCGAAATGGCTGGGTAGGTAAGGGTGTTTGCTGCTGCACCTGATGACCTGAGGCCTATCCCCAGAACCCACATGGTGGAGGGAAAGAACTGACTCCTGCAAGCTGTCCTCCATATGCAAGTATGAACACACACACAGACACACACACAATAGAGAGGAGAGGGAGAAGGAAAAAGAAGAAGAGAAGCAGGAAAAGAGGAGGAGGAGTGGGAGGAAGAAGAGAAAGAGAAGGGGAGGAAGAAGAGGAGGAGCAGGAGGAGGAGGAGGAGGAGGAGTGGGAGAGGGGAGGAGAGGGAGCTGGAGGAAGAGAGGAAACCAGTTTTTTTTTTTTGTTTTTTTTTTTCTTTTTTTTTTGTCTTTTTGAGACAGGATCTCCCTGTAGCCCCAGCTGTCCTGGAACTCACTATGTAGACCAGGCTGGCCTTGAACTCACAGAGATCCACCTGCCTCTGCCTCCTGAGTGCTGGGATTAAAGGTGTGCGCCACCACGCCCGGCCCTGAGAGAAAACCAGTTTGTAGGAAGGTTTGCAGTTGTCCCTTGTAAAGGAACAGTCATCAGGCTAGCTAGTGAATTCAGAGCCCAGCCTGCTTGGGTGAGCTGTGTGCCTGGTACACTGTTCTGGAAGGACCCAGGCCTGCACCAGGACACTGAGGAGAACGTGGGATTGATGGGTGATGTCTGTCCTGAGCACTGCCCACAGGAAGGCAAGGCATGGCAGGTACCTGGGATTCCCTCGGGCCAAGTTCAGACAGGCTTGGAACAGCACAGCATGGACCTGGGAACTCAAACAAGGAGAACTTTATGCGCTAGGCTATGACCCTCACCTCTTGCGCATTTGAAGTGGATACCTCTGTGATGCCTGCAATCTGGATGCTGCCTCTAGAATCTTCTCTCAGCTCCAGAAACCCAGAGGATGGGTTCAGGAGGTCACGGATGACTTCGTTATAAATCTGCAGTGGAACAGAAAGTTTGGGACTAAAGCACTTTGGTTCAAACAGCCCCAAGGAAGCCTGCGCTGCTGGAGGGCTTGCATCCCACAACTCAAAGCTGCATTTAGCCTGCTGTGATTCTGATTCAACTGAGGCAGGGGGGCTGGCTCACCTCCAGGTAAGACATGGACACGCTGTATTCCATGTTGTCCTGGGTCTCCTCGATGGCCTGGAAGAGGTCAGTGAGGGTCTGCAGGTAGATACCAGGCTCTGCATCCATGCCCAGCATAGTGTGGGTCTTCCCTGCACCTGCAGGAGGGCCGGGTTCCAGAGGCAGGCTCAGGTGTGGTATGCATTAAGAGGATTGGCACACTACACACTTTCAAAGGGATGTTCTCTCTAAGGGAGGCCTCACTGGCTCCCTCACCACCTTGTCCCATGAAGGAGAGGATTGGTAGGTGCTTCCTGCTAAGCCCAGGAAGAGAGTGAACCCACTGACTGGTGCTGGGTGGCTGTGAGCTAGGTGCTCCTTAGAATCTGTATTCCCATCCACACAGGTGACAGGGTGCTTGCTTTAGTCCTGACCCTCTGTGAGTTTAGTTCCCAAGGACAAGAGAAGTGACTTCATTTTACAGACCCAGGGCTAGGCAGGTGCTTCCTACTGAGCTAGTCCCCCAGACATTTTTCTTCTCTTTTCTTTTTTCTTTTGAGATAGACTTTCCATAGGAAGCCCAAGCTGGCCTGGATAATCTTCCTGTCTCAGCCTCTCAAAGAACTAGGATGACAGGTGGGTGCTATCTGGTTGCAAACATTTATTGAGCCCAACTCTTAACTTCAAAGAAGAAATTTGTGACACTGGGTGTGGTGGCACACGCCTTCAGTCCCAGCACTTGGGAGGCAGAGGCAGGTGGATCTCTGTGAGTTCAAGGCCAGCCTGGTCTACATAGTGAGTTCCAGGTCAGTCCCTGCTACAGGGAAACCCTGCCTCAAAAACACCAAAAAAAAAGAAGAAAGAAAGAAAGAAAGAAAGAAAGAAAGAAAGAAAGAAAGAAAGAAAGAAAGAAAAAAGGAAATCTGTGGGTCTTCTGAGCAGAAAAATGCAGGTTTGGGTTGAATTGCTAGATTTACCCTGCTGACTGTGACTCTGGGGAAGTTTCTAGAATCATCCCAGCTAGCTAAATGACCTTGTCCACTGAGTCCAGAAGAGGGCACCAGAGCCTCTGGAACTGGACTTACTGGCAGTTACCAGTTGCCAAACCTAGGTGTTGGGAACTGAATTTGTATCCTCTGTAGCAAGCACACTTTATAAATTTTGATTTAATTTTTATATGTACAAGTGTTTTGCCTGCATGTATGTAAGTGCACATGCATCCAATACTCACAGAGGCCAGAAGACGGATTAGATCCCCTGGAACTGGAGTTATGGATAGTTGCTAGCTGCCATGTGGGTGCTGGGTCCTTTGTAAGAGCAGCCAGTGTTCTTAACCACTGAGCAATCTCTCCAGATTCCTTAGCTCTCTTTGAAAGGAGGGGTCATGCTAACCTTTCAGAGAAGCTGAGATGATAAAAGTCCAGTACATGGGGCTAGGGATGTGGCCCAGTGGATAGAGCACTTGCCCAGGTTCCATCTCCAGCATTGCATAAACCAGGCATGGTGGTGCACACCTGTGATCGCAGCTCATGGGAAGTGGAGGTAGGATCAGGAGTTGGAGGTCATCCTTGGCTACATAGTAAGTTTGAAGCTATCCTAGGCTACAGTGAGACAGTGTCTCCCCAAAAAGGGAGGGTTCTGCTGGCACCAAGCCCCTTCCTCCCAGGGACAATGCCCCATCCAGTACCTGAGGGGCCATAGGCAAACACTGTTGCATTGTATCCGGAGATGATGCCCTCCACTAAATGCTGGATGGTGGCACGGTACACATCTTCCTGTAGACAGACAGGAGGACAGACGGACAGAGGAAAGGACAACGTGAGTCAGGGGACCTACTGCTTAGTAAAAACAGGAGGGGGAGGTCTGCAAATGAGCTGTCCCTCTACATACACAAAGACACAGACGGAAGGCTGAAGGGGAAGGGGAAGCCTAGGTGTTAGAAGCTCCTGGAAAGTTCTGTAGCTAGGCAATGTTGGGCATACTACCTCAACTGTGCTGAACCTCACATGCAGGCTGAGAGAAGATTAAGCAGAAGGAATAGCTGGGGGCAGTGGTGGGGGTCCTCACGCCTTTGATCCCAGCACTGCAGAGGCAGGCAGCTCTCTGTGAGTTTGAGGTCAGCCTGATCTATATAGTGAGTTCCAGGCCAACCAGGTCTACATAATGAGACCAGATCTCAAACATAAATAACTAATAAAATAAATTCTGAGGCTGCCATCAGGAAGGCTGACACATGCTAGGGACTAAGTGCAGTCATTTCCAGGGCTTCTGCAGGAACTGAGAGATCAATAGGGTTAATGTTCCATGAAGATGATCAGGAGCCCACCCCCACTTCATGAGACAAAACTGGGGGGCAGAGATGAGTGACATGACCCAAGGCAGCAATACCCAGCTATGGTAATGTGCAGGTAGTGAGCCTCCTGCCCACAGGGAGCTAAATGTCAAGGAAGGACACTCAGGGCTGGTGACTGAAGTGGCAGGTTCAGCTGGCTTGACCACCTACATCTGCAGCACCTTCCCAGTGTCCACTCTGAGCCCTGATTTCTACCTATGGAACTCAGTGCAGCTCTGGCTGATCACAGCTCCACTGCGCTAGGTGTGGAGCTATCAAAGTTACCCTCCTCCCTGTGGTTGTGGAAAGGCAGAGGCTGGGTTGGAATCTGGGCTCCGCTGTGCATGGCGGTACCTCAGACAGCTCCCTCCTATGTAGATCAAAGAAATTTGTTTGTTATACAGGGTCTCAGGTAACCCAGGCTGGCCTCACATTCATGTGACCTTGAACTCTCCTGCATGCTGGGATTACATGTGTGTGCCACCACACCCAACAGAGATATTTCTGTGCACTTTTCAAGATTGCTGTGAGGCTGGCATGTGACATGGGGCAAGTGTAGCACTCGGCCTGGGGCAGCTTGCCAACGACCATCAGTGACCAGGTCCCTCCAACCTATCATGCCATTGTAACCTTAACAATGAGAAAAGCTGCTCTGCTCTGACAGCGGCTGGGGAGCAGCTCTGCTTTCCTCCAGAGAGCTGCTTTCTGAAAAGAGAGGGAGCACATGTCCCCAGCAGGCATCCGTATTGGAACACTGCCCCTGTTCCCCTGGTGTGAGAACAGTCCTGGATACTTAGCCACTTGACTGGGGTGATGAGTCTGCCCCTCCCCTTGACCTTGGCCAGCCTTGGAGACTAGCTTGAGCAGCCAGTGTGCACAAGTGAGGCCAAGAACCCAGGAGACTCCCACTGGGCCTCCTGTAGCTCTGAGGCCACCATCTGAGAAGCTGGTGCCTCAGGGAGAAGGAAGGCCTAAGTGGGTGCTCCAGCAGAGATGCCAGCCAGCCCCACTGATGACCAAGCAGGGAACCATTGGGTGTCATCAGTTCAGCAGAGCCCCTGATGACTACAGTCCCTCGATGTCCCATGTGAAGATGGCAGTAAGTCCTAGTCCAGGTCACATGGGGCTAGGCTGGCTGGCATGTTCTGCAGCTGCTGATAATCAGGAGACAGTTGCATACACCTAGGGTCGGGCTTCTTAGAAGTGGGGAATCTGGACTACATCTTGATTCCCCTGCAGCCTGAGTGCCTCCACTTCCCTCTCCAGGCCTGCTCCTACTCTCCCACCTCAGATCTCTGGAGTATGCTTTTAGTCCAGACCTGCCCACTGCATCCTGATTCCCTGAACGCAGACTAGGTCAATTCTCCAGCTTTGTTTGTTAGACCCTCCACCCCCATCTTGCCCTTGGCCCCCCTCCCTCATCATCTGCCTACCACTACTACCCAGACGAGCCTACTACCCTGTGAGAACCTGAAGCACACACCAATTAACTTTTCACACCTGAGCAAAAGGCAACCAAGTTATATCAACAATATAAACAGAAACAAACTTCAATTAAAGGCAGAATAGAATTTCCTATTGGACACACAACCAGCAAAAGACATCCATATGCCCAAACGGCAACACAAAAATACAAATAATGTGAAAAACCAAGAGCATATGTCCCCCCCAAAAAACCCACCAGTCCTACAGAAGTGTACTACGAGAATCACTCTGAAGAACTCCACAATGCAGAATTTTTTTAAAAAATCATAAACATAAAAAAAGAAGAAAAAAAAAGATATAACTAAATATTTGATTAAATGGTAATGTTACATTATATAGCAATAATATATTTGGGAAATAATATATTGGGGAAATTATGTATTTATCATGTATTAATACATTTGTCAAGTAATAAAAAACAAAAAAATAAAAAAATAAAAAATAAAAAATAAATCATAAACATGATCAAAGAACTTAAAGAAAACACTGAGAAACAGCTCAAAGAACTCAAAGAGGATAGGCATAAACTTGTGATAGAAGTTGAAGAAAATACAAATACGGGGCCGAATGAAATAACAAAAACAATTCAGGACTTGGAAAGTGAATTCACAAAAGAGACAGGAATACTGAAGAAAACCCAAACCGAAAGGAAGATAGAATTGAAAAACTCAGTAAGTCAGTTGGAAACAATGGGAGGAAGCCCCCCAGTTACAGTGAGTGAAACGGAAAACAGAATAACAAGACTGGATGACAAAGTTGAAGAACTGGACTCCTTAAAGACTATAATTTTTTAAAATTTCATTTATTATTTTTATTTTATGTGTATGCATGTATTGCCTGCATGTAGATAAGTGCACCCATGTCATGCAATGCCCTCGGAGGTCAGAAGAGGCTGTTGGATCCCCTGGGACTGGAGTTACAGACAGTTGTTAGCTGCCATGTGTGTGCTGGGATTCAAACCCAGGTCTTCTGCAAGAACAACCAGTGTTCTTAACCACTGAGCCATCTCTCCAGCCCCAAGACTATATTTTTTTTAAAAAAACACAAGAATGGAATATGTAGGAAATGTGGGACACCATGGAAAGACCAAATCTGAGCCAGGTGTGGTGGCGCACACCTGTACTCTCAGCACTCAAGAGGCAGAGGCAGGCTGATCTCTGTGAGTTCAAGGCCAGCCTGGTCTACATAGAGAGTTCCAAGCCAGTTGGGGCTACAGGGAGACCCTGTCTCAAAAAAAAAAAAGACAAAAAAAAGACCAAATCTATGCATCATAGGCTATATGCCTCAGACCAATAGCATTGATCAGATCTTCAACAGGATTATAGAAGAAAACTTCCCTAAATTAAGGAAAGACTTGCCTATAGAGATTCAAGAAACATAGAACACCAATTAGACACTACCAGAACAGAAACTCCCCACAGCATATCATAGAAAAACATTAATGTACAGGACAAAGAAAGGGTTCTGAAAGCTTCTAGAGAAAAACAAGAAGTTACATATAAAGGAAAACCCATCAGAATCACATGACTTCAATGAAGACTATGAAGCTGGAAGAGCCTGGACCAAAGTATTCCCAGTTCTAATGACCATGGATGCTAATGCAGAATACTTTACCCAGAAAAACTATCTACCATAGTCAAAGGGAAACAAAAAGTTTTCCATGATACCAATGGGCTGAAAGAATTCATGTCCACCAAACCAGCCCTACAGAGAATACTCAATGCAATACAAAGTGCTGGAGATAGGAATGACTATACCCAAGAGGCCATAGAAAGAAAACAAAGGAATGTATAATCGGGGAAACACAAAATAGGACCAAGAACACAAACAAATTTAAAATGACTGTAACCAATACACATCTTTCAATAATAACTCTAAATATCAGTGGCCTCAACTCCCTAGTCAAAATATACAGGCTAGTGGAATGGATTAAGAAACAAAATCCATCTCTTTGTTGTCTTCAAAAAACTCATCATACCTTCAAGGATAGGCACTACCTTAGGGTGGAAGGAAGGGAAAAAAAATATTCCAAGCAAATGACACTAAGAAGCAAGCAGGTGTTGCAATTCTAACATCTGACAAAACAGACTTCAAATTAAAACTAATCAGAAGAGATAAAGAGGGTCACTTCATTCTAATCAAAGAAACAATTGACCAAGAAGATATTACAATCATGAACATATATGCGCCAAACTCTGTAGCACCCAATTTCATAAAAACAGTACTTCAGGACTATAAAACACAGATTAACCCCAACTCCATAAGAGTAGGTGACTCCAATACCCACCATCTCCAACAGACAGGTCAACGGGACAAAGAATAAACAGAGAGCTATCCGAATTAAATGACATCTTACACCAAGTGGACCTAACAGACATCTACTGAATACCCAAGCACCAAAAAATACACTTTCTACTCAGCAGCCCATCAAGTTTCTCTAAAATTGACCACATACTGGGACAAAAAACAAACCTCAACAAATACAAAAGAATTGAAATAATTCCATGTGTTTTATCAGACCACAATGCAATAAAGCTTATAAACAACAAAAAGAAGCTGTAGTAACTACAGGAACTCATGAAGATTAGACAACACACTCCTGAATGATGAATGGGTCAAAGAGTAAATTAAGAAAAAAATAAAAGTATTCCTGGAACTAAAGGAAAGTGATAACACAACACAACAAAACCTCTGGGACACTTAAAAGAAGTCCTAAGAAGGAAGTTTATAGCTCTAAGTACCAACATTAAAAAAATCAGAAAGATCACATATAAATGACTTAACAATACAACTCAAAACAAGAACAAACCAAACAAAGCTAGTAGATAAGAAGAAATAACAAATCAGAGCAGAAATTAACAATAAAAAAATACAAAGACTCAATGACTCTAAGAGCTGGTTCTTTGAAAAGTTAAAGAAGATAGATAGACCCTTAGCCCAGTTAACCAAAAGAAAGAA